AGTAATTTTCACGTTAAAAGTTCAAAGCTGGAAATACACAAAAACTCCTTCTCTTGTTTGGCGTAAAACTTTGGAATGAGATACCTCGTCATATTAGTGATCTTCCTAAAAAGGAATTTATGAAGTGCTTCACAGATTGTATTCCGATATCGTAGAAAAAGATAATGACCATATTGAGAAGCCATTGATAATTAAAGAAGTTGGGTTAACAGTTAAGTAAATTCATTTTGTATAAAATTATATGCTTTCTAATTCCCAGTCAATTCCTTTTTCGTTTTCCTTAGATGTAATGGAAATTAAGATAAAACTATGATGCGATAGAATTGAGAATTATTGTAACTTTAAATATTTTCCTTCCTTACATTTTCTGATTTTTTTTTTTTCTTTTAACTGGGTCGCCTGGATTAGCAATTGCTATTTTGTGGGCCAGTCTATTATTATACCATTTTTAACAAATATAGTTGAAGTTAAAATTGAACAATTTTCAGTTAAAATAATAGAGACCCTCTATATCTCAGTTATTTGCTTTTGCAAGATGATGCCATTTAATCACTACGACCAGAATCCTTTTCTTTTTTTCTTTCAATTTTAAAAATTTGATTGGAAATCCCAGCGAGGTTAACAAAAGCCCTAACTTGCACAAGAAAGCATAACCCTGAAGGATTCTGGTCGTAGTAGTAAAATGACGTCATCGTGCAAATGGCCTTATAAAATTAACAAATTAAAATAGGCTCCAGAAAATACTTAACGTTGCTTTCACGGAGTACGAAAAACCCGTGAGGGTAATCAAAGCTTCAGACCTGAGCACTGCAATATGAGAACTCGATCGGCTCTACTGGTTCGAAGCAGCGAATCTCGTGACCGCCATAAAATAGTCAAAATACGCTTTCAGAAGAAAGGTTTAAGATCAGTCTTAAGACACCAAAGTGAGAAAAAGACGTTACCTTGACACGATCTGGTGTTTAAGATCACCATCGATCACAGGAAAGATGACAAATCCCTTTCTCCCTTCTCCTCCTTCTTATTCTTCTCTTCAGTTTCTTCTATCCACTTTCAATCCTTGTTTTCATCCGCTTCTTCCTCTGCATCCTTCTTCCGCTTTGACTAATGAATTTTGTGAACACTTTAAAAAGCAGTTTTTCTCAAAATGGTTGCAAAACTTCATATCCAGAGAACCACAAAAAGTTGTCGAATATATCTTGATGACCATGATCTTTCTTCGCCTTATTCCCAGAGAGGACAAGGCCTTGGAAACGAATTTGCTAATAACTTAAGGTATGTATCTTACGTCATGTAAATATTCCACAGAAACCGCAATTAATCATATCCTCAGACAGCATAATTCCCGGAAAAACACGGTCCACTGACCCCCTTTCCTAGAAAGCATATGTGTACGCGCTACAGAAGTGAATCAAATCGAAATTTAGCTGTTAAGAGTAGACGAAAAAATTTCAAATCGTAATAACACTTGTCCAAATGGAGACATCAGACCACAAAGCTTTTCTAAAACGTTTAACAAGTAACGCTACAGAAACACGATCGACTTGCTTTTGGTCATTACAATTCTTGTATTACTCCGCACTGCAGCTCCAGTCATTCGAGGCGAATGTGATGGTATGTTATTGTTATGACATATGCTTAATTCTTGCATGTTTTCATAAATAAGTTGCGACTGTTAACGTTTAGAGTCGTTGGAATCAGATCAAAGCTTGGTACCTTCATTTTCGAACATTGGAATTTATAGGTGTAATTTAAACCAAGTGTCTAATGACCAACAGTCATTAAAGCAGTTTTCAGATCACTAAATGACCGACATTCCGTCTCCGATCTGAATTTGCCTTATGTTCAGATTTGCTCCTAACGGTAGACAAGGAATATAGATGTTTGGGGATTAGGTTAAAACTATTCAGTGTTTTGAAAACCTTAGTGACGGGCAACCAGCCTTATAACCACAGTCTAATTTCAAAATAATGGACAAATTTAAAATGACTAAGCGAATTTTTTCGTCTGTAATTCCCTGCCCCTATGCGAAAAATTAAAAACTCAGAAAAATACATTTTTCTCAGAAAGGTTTGATTTCAATATTTTTTTTTTCGTAAACTCATATGATCTTGGTTTGAATAAAATGTTGCGGTTGTATAACTTAGTAAATAACTCTACAATTAATGCAACCGAGTTTCGTAACGTCCGGGCACGGATCTAAGGCCCTCAGCTCGGCGAGGTAACAAGGGATACACTTTGGCAGGGAAAATCCAAACCTTCGTCTAGGTTTTTTATGCCTTTGATCGGGTTTTATTTTTACTCTGGGTAGACTATTAGTCTCCGTAGCAAATGAAAACTAAAACCCGTAAGCCATGCTTTGAACATGAAAGCTGGATTGTGTCTTTAACTCGAGCCCTTGGGCAAATGAAGAACGTATATTAAATTATTCTGAAACAAAGCGGAAGACATAAGTCTTACAATATCATAGACATTCAGATGACAGTCATATTTTTCTAGCTTCTCTTCCCGCTAATCTAATGATATGGCCAGATAAAGATAAAAATCGCATTCTTAAAGCATTATTTGGCTGCCGTAAGTAATTCCTACTAAGGTCAGTTTATCTAATCGTGTATGACTTAAATTTTTATTGACTGAAAATTATTTGAAAATCCAGGAGGGAACGTTGACGAAAAAGACAGAGATCATAACTCCAAGTGCAATATACAGGTATCTTGCATGAAACTAGAAAACAGCTCCAGTGTTAAGTGTATCTGTCACGTCGCTATCAAAGAAGATCCTAATGGCAATGGAGGTAAGAGAATAACAGTGTCCGTCAAACAAAAACCAAATTCACAGGCGTCTGAAAAAAATAATTATTACAAAGGTGGACAATCTTTAAATATATGTTAATCCGGTGAATACTTAAATAGAGACAGTACAAAAGTAAATGCAAGACGCGAAATCGTTACATTACAAATCAGATGTACAATGATGACAACGCTCAAACTCAACAGCCCATGGATGTACACTGTAATTTCCAAAATATTGTTTTTCCGAATTTAAGGTCCCTTTGGTGAACAAAATAGAGGAACTCACCCGTCTGAATTGGGACAAAATCAGTTCAGTCAAGGGATAACATGACCAAGGGGTAAGATGAGATTCATAGCCAGTTTAAGTAGTTCTTTGTAAATAAAGATGTTTGTCCAAATTGTGCTCAAATGACTGGCTCGACGCAAAGGAATCCGGTTTCCGGAACAGTGGAATTTTTGCGGTGGATTCTGGAATCCAGCAATTTTGGATTCTGGATTCCGCGCCATAGATTCCGGATTCCATGGCGTGGAATCCAGAATCCAAGACTGTCTTGGATTCCCTTACGTTGGGCGAAATGACTCCCAGAAAAGCTAAATAAGACTGTGGGTCCACAGAGCTTGTTTAGCAGTTTGAGTGCATCTGAAACAGATCTCTTGAATGTACAGTGAGAGTAACGTTATGTTTGTTGCTTTATTGTGGTTTCTAGGTACCGTCGAGTGTGACCCCGGCAACAATAATTCATTCCCTGTACGCAAGAGTGACGTTTGAGCATCATTGGTTCCCTACACTCTACGATGGTTACAAAGGCTCAATACTGATCGCCGACAAAGTGTTCTGTAATACGCAGCACAGCAATTTAACAAAAGTGACGAAATACAGTCAACGGACCTCAAAGACCCCAGATCCCCCTAAAACGGGTATTTAACAATTATTTCTCGAGCCCGAATGGGCTCCGAGTCCGGCCGAATGGGCTATTGACTCAGAGGCCATGAGGGCGAGAGGGATAATTGTTTTAGTAAAATCCAACTAGTTGGTCAAAAAGCCCGCAGTTTTCTCTACTAGGGGGCTATAACATACCGTAAAGTTCCGATAGTAACGACCCCCCGAAATTAACGTCAATTTTTTTCTGGCCGCTAGTAAATCCCGAAAGTAGCGGCCCCCAAAGTAGCGACCCCCCCGCCAGAAAGTAGCGAGACAAAGTTTTTTAAATTGTATACCGTATACCTTTAATTTGTCAATCAATGGTCAAAATTTTAATGTACAATAATATGTTCGTGCAGTGTCACAAATTGTGTAGTGTCACAAGTTATAAGGCTTTGAATTTTTCATCAGTTATTCAGTTTCGTTTTGTTTATTTTTTTTTCTTGTTTTGCTCTTTTTATCTCCATCAACTAGCTTCACCGTTACTTCTACCAACGAAAGTAACCTGAACTTTATTAAGATTTAATAGAGAAAAGAGCTCCACACGCTTAGTCACCTTCTCGTCTTTGTTTAAAGTAATTATGGGTTTATATCTTTTGAGAACGGGCACCTGGACAAATTATTTGAAATACAGTCATTTAGCGACCCCAATAAGGAAATCTTCTAGTGGTGAGTCTCAAGCCGGTGTGATTTTGAAAACTTTCAGTCAGAGATTTGGTTGGCATCGCTTTTTTGTCTAAGATTTACCTGCGACGGTAGGGCGTTAGATTATGAGGTGGACAAGAAGGAAAGAACTCGGATCGCTGTTTTCTTTGCTATAATAAAAACAAAAACTAAAGCTCCCTAAAATATATGCACATTTTATTTTCCTCTTTCTGTACGTTTATTGCAGAGTGTATTCATACTAATAATCCTACACATAATAATTGTGCTGATGTACTCGTAACACGATAGGAGTAAATAGCACCAAATATATTTACTTCTGGAGTCCAAAAAATAAATAAATAAATCTTCAAGTTGCTTCGATGCCATTAATTATGGAAGACAGCTTTTCGCTCTTGCCTACTTAATTATGGAAAATAGCTTTTAGTCGTACTTGCTTATAAATTCAACCATGTGCACTGCAGTTTGTCAATTAAAACATGAAAACCTGTTTTTGTTTTAACTTCTCTACGTGAAAGCTGGCAAGGGATGAATTCAACAGCTATAAATGTCTGTTCTGGAGCACTTACAAACACAGAAATTGTAGTGTTAGCAACCTTCAACACAATTCTTGGATTAACATCATGTGTTGGAAACGCACTCATTTAGCAGCCATTTACCAAGTACCAAGTCTAAGAACAATTTCAAATGCGTTTATTTCTTCTCTTGGATTTGCCGACTTCACAGTCGGTTTGTTTATGAGTCCTTTGTGGGTTTCCAAGAGTCTTCTGAACGTCTGGAAAAGTGATAATCAGCTTTCCACTACAATTGAATTCCTTACAATGCAGACCATCGTGGCGTCTACGTTCAGCTTGTGTGCTGTTAGTGTGGATCGCTATGTCGCAGTAACCAATATTCGTTATATCGAGATCTTGACGCGGTCTCGCGTCCGAGCTGTCATCGTTTCCATCTGGTTTTTCTCTGTTGTTTTCGCGTGTTTAAGACTGGTAATAACCGATCCATTTAAATTACCTCTCTACTGGATTGCTGCATCAACCATCACTGTAATGTTACCGATCGTAATCATTTCCCTTTGTTATTTTCACATATTCAAGGCGGTTCGCATTCAAATCAGACGAATAGCAGTCAACGCAACGTTAAACCCAGACGAGACTTTAGTGCAACTTAAGAACCGTAAAGCAGCTTTAACTATCGGAATAGTTGTGGGTTTATTTCTAATTTGCTGGACTCCAAGTCTAGTCATATCCCTTTTGCAATTCTTCAGTACTGATTCTTGCAGGAAAATGAAAATAAACGGTTACTGATTCTGGGTTGCCTTAGCAGAATTCAGCAACTCAGCTTTTAATCCCTTTATATATTGCATAAGAAGCCGGGACTTTAGAAAAGCTGTGCGAAATGTAGTCTTAAGCTTTTCATTGGCAAAAATTTGCTTTCAGAGGAATAACCACGTAATTGCTGTTTGAATTAGGCTTATTAAAGATTTTTAAAAGTAAACGTTCTCAGCGAGCTGATTTATTCAAGTGTATTCAGTACTGATTTGGGGCATTAGGGCAACAAAAACTCCCATTATATTGTCTTTCTTTTCTTCAGACTTCAAGAACAATCCTCAAATTTTTGGCAAACAAAAATCCCTAGCTGGATGAATTTCCAATTCCTGTAAAGAAAGCACGAGATTTGTTAGATCTGCATGTTATATTTTCATATTTTTTTTTTGTTAGTATTAAGATACCTTATTAGCTACAGCTTTTCTCTTCGCGGCACTTAAGTTCCTGAAAATGAGACAAATCCGGCGAAACTTCAAATTCACGCTATACGGCCAAAAGATGGAAATTTAATATATACAAAAACATCGGGATCGCTTAAAAAGCATGCTACTGTTTTCTTGAACCCTCAGGGGCTCCTAAACAAGCCACGAGCCACCGAAAAGAAAATATCCGATTCCCCTCTACATTTGGTTGCCTTTTTGCAATCTCCATTCTTATGTTTTGTATTTAGACGAAATAATGCCTATCTTATTCTAATTTTCCTTTTAGCGTTTTCTGTGTAATTTTCATTTGTGTATCAAATTTTGTATATCTCTCATCTGACTCCGGATTTGTCCATAGTTCATAGTAACCTTTAAGTTTCTTAGGAAACAAGAAACAAAAGGTGTTACACCTGTTTTAACTAAGTGAAAATTATTCAAGACATTGCTGTTCAGTAATTGTATATTTGTAATTAAAAATAAGTTTGAAAAAACCAACCGGCCATTGGTATAACGACTGAGTAAATTAGTTATCAATGGAAAAGGATTTTAGCATCAGATGATGAGTCAACGAAAAGAAAAACAACTCAAGATGGATTTCCACCGCCGCATAATTTTTACTTGCTTACGCAAGCAAATTTTACGCGCGTAAATAGAATAGAAGCATTGTATGAAAGGTCGCGCGTAGAGGTACAAGTTGAACCTCTCTCAGCTTTTACGTTTACGCCAGCCGTTCATACAGACATACGTCGCTTCTATTTTGGTTACCCGCAAAATGTTTTACACGCGTCCGCACGGAAAAAATTTCGCGACAGTCTAAACCCGTGTATGCTTACTGGAGTATAATTGGCGGTAATCGAGAAAAACTCGAACAATCGTGTACAGAAGTATAGAGCCTTAGTATTTTTATTTTTATTTATTTATTTTTTATATATATATATATATCAAAAACATAAAAAAGGAACGTGAGATCTTTGAATGAATCATTAGCAACCGTCTTCGTGTCTGGGCGTCTATCTCGAGTCTATTCAGTTGAAAAGAAATTCTAATACCAAAGGTTTCGTGGTAATTAGCTTGCCACCTTTTAACGAAGCAAAAAAACGTTTGGACCAATACGGAGTAAGGTCAAACAATAACTGGAAACGAATTAAAGATTAAGTGGATTGAAACAATTTTGATGATACCCTGTTGTTTTTAATTGCTTTTTTTAATCTCCTTAAAAAGGAGGCGTCACTATAAGTGTCCGTGTTTTCAATGCGCTAACATTGGCAGTCCAATTTTTCCTTCAACAGAACTTGAAACACGTTCAAGATATGAAGAACACCAACACATTTTTTGTAGGTAGTAAGCTACGACTGTCGAACTGATATCAGATTACCTCAGTTTAAACACAAGCGTGTTGCCCCGTTTGGTTTGTTTGTGCGAGTAGTGTATTATTTTTGTACTTGTTTGATTTATCTTATTTGAACAATGAATAACACAGGTCTGGCTGCGACTGCGCCAAATGTAATTGTCAACGATTCTTGTGAAATTGACGTAGAGAGCGCAGCTGAAAGAGTGGTCAACATTGTTGGCTATTCAGTTATTATCCCTGTATCTATTATCGGCAACACTCTGCTGATATGTGCAGTGAAACAAAATAATCGACTCAACACCATTACATACCGCCTCATTTTAAACATGGCCGTCGCAGATATATTGGTTACGGTCTGTAATATGCCTGGACGACTTATAAGGCAGATAACGGGTCAGTATTATTGGTTCGATGGGATACCAGGAACAGTACTCTGCAAGTTCGCAAGTTTTATATCGGACTCGACAGTCTCCTGTTCCATATTAACACTGACAGTGATCGCATTTGAGCGTTTCTGTCTGGTAAAATTTCCATTCAAAAAGATCATCACGATGAAAGCTGTGAAATTTGTTATACTGGCTATTTGGCTAGCATCGTTTCTCTCAGTGTCTCCGTTACTCTACGCCATGACTACCCAAGAAATAGATGGAATTGTTTACTGCTATGAAGACTGGACGCCTTTGTTTGACCAGGAAACAGCTGCGAAAGCCTACACAGTGATTACATTCGTCCTACTTTATGCCGTACCATTATTAGTCATCTGTGTCTTTTACTCCATCGTTGTTTACAAGGCCTGGATTCGGCCGGTACCTCTAAACAACCGTTCAAGAAGAGCAGCGAAGTTGGGAGCTCGCAAAAAAATTGTCACAATGCTTATCGTTGTGGTTGTGGTCTTTGCGCTATGTTGGCTTCCACTACACATCTCGCTTTTCCTTTACTTTTTCCAGGCTGATGAGTATTTATGTGGGATTCCGCAATCTGGATTTAGTATCGGTGCAATTGGCCTGTTTCTAAGCCACACGGCCTCCGCGATAAATCCTTGCTTGTATGTGGCGTTCAACAAAGATATCCGAAATGGATTTCGAAATATTTTACTCTCTTATTGCTGTCTATGTAAATAACGAGGCAAATGATGCAGATTGCACTTCTCATCCTTTAAAGAAGTTCCAAAACTAATGACTTGAAGAGAGGGAGAAAACGAAACAACAAAGGAGAGGTAGAAAACTATAAAGACAAATGACAGTTACACAGACTAATATATAATTGTTCAGGATTTCCTGTTTCAGATTCAAACAGTCAAATGGATTACCATGATTACTTTATAAAACAACGGCGACTTATCTGGAGGAGGGGAGGCGGCGCTTATTTGATGGTGACGCTCAAATAAGTTTTCTCATTCACAAATAACAAAACATAAAATAATGGCTCCCTCCGGTGTTTTTTTTTTTGTTGTTGTTTTTTTTCAAAAATGATGACAGAACAGCGAAAAAAACGTAGCTTCCTAACGGACACTCACGTGAGTGGTCGGTTCTACTAACAGTCGCCTTCACAGAATCCCGTTTTTCTCTACTCCCATACAAACTCTGTACCTTTTTTAAATTCCTGTAAGCGGCCAGCTCCAGTTAGGGATTTGCGTCCCGAGGAGGGTCCCCAACAGGTTTTTCGGGATCTGGGATTTCCCTTATTTGAAGCTCGGGATACGGGATTTAAAAGCAAAATCAGGGCGAGATTCGGGATTGAAATTATGTGCGGGAGGTGGGATGCCCAAAATAACCCTCGGGATTACGGGATCGAAAGAAATTGCGGGTCGGGATTACGGGATTGAAGAATCCTATTGGGACCGTCTCCCGAGGGTGTGCGCTCACGAGAGCTTCCACTGTATTTAAAATCGGCCAGCGCTGCATGATAGCTGAAAGGGTTAGGGGCATTTTCGGAGGCACCGTTCTTTCGGGTAAATATGGGATGTTTAAAATTAAGATAGCACATAGTTTAATAGAACCTACGCTTAAATCCAAAAAGGAGTTAGAGGGAATAGATACAAATAAAGTTGACATTATGTATGATACTGTAAATCATCTTTAGGCTCAGCAATGAGTACTAAATTTAGTGCATTTCTTTTGTTTTATAACGCAAAGCCTCGGAGCCAAGTATGAATTTTAATGTATCGAGAATTAGTCTATCACCATTGATTATCAAAAGTGTCACCAAGCAACGGATGCCGACATTATACTGTAGATTCAAGTTTCAGCTGTTGCTTTCAAAGCTATTGCTTTCAACTAATTGCTTGTAATTAACCCATTCTCCCCCCGGAAATGCTGCCGAGAAACGCTTTTAAAGCTAGTCGAGCGGTTTTCTAGTCACTGTCGGGCTGTAAAGAGCAAGAATTTACCATAAAGCCATTTACCGGTCGTACACCTGGAGGCCTTCTGATCCAGATACAAAATATCTTGGCTTAAGAAGTTCGGGCCTGCGCATGCTTCTCCCCTCTTTTTTCGCTTTTCTTGTGTCGTTTTTTTCTGTTGCTGGGCATTTAGTAGCCTTCATTTTGGTGGCAAAAGTTTTCAGGAAAGATTTTATGACTCTTCGGCGTGTTAAGCTGTCTTGTTTGGTTAAAGATATTTTTTCGTTCTTAACATCAAATTAGATCACAGTATTTTTTGCTGCTTTCGAAAAAGCAGAAAAAATATGCCAGTTCAAAGCAAGCATAGGTATTTGGAAAGCTTCCTTAACGATAAGCCAAGTAACCTCCCGGTGCATCAGGCTTGTTTCAGAAAGTAAGTTGAAATGAATCCACCGCCGATAGAAGTATTGACAAGTGCAGACGAAGCCTTTGGGCCCGTTGGAAGAATACAGAAATGGAAAACACAGCATAAGTGGACTACTGAAAGCGGTTTTCAAATCTCTGTGGTCAAATCAAATAAAGCCCTGCGTTGGTAATATTGCTGGTAGTCATGTGACAGGAGAAAATTTTTTTTTATTATTGTTATTGTCTACAACTAATATTGTTCGAGCTTTTAGACAGACTACATTGTAGGTTTTAATCTTATATTTTTGATGTCAGGTTATAAAGTTGACAAGAACCAAATTCAGCACTAAAGCACATGTAATCGATAGTCTGAAATATCATCCGTCATTCGCGGAGATGCGGGTTCTGTGTAATTCAGTGCTGAATTCAGTCTTATTAAAGTTGAGCCTTGGGTCAAAGTTAAGCAAAGAAGGTTTTAAGGTTAAAATCCCTACACGCTTGGTTTCCATTGTAAAAGCGCAGATAATTGTGACCAACAATTTCCAAGCCATCTAGTTACAGATAGTGCACTGCTTTGTTAAAGCTTCTCGTCAAGGAAATAAATTATATCGGTTCAGTTTCACTCTAGAAAACTAACTGAACATACGGTGGAAGAATTCGAATTTCATTGAAATCTAGTTGACGTTCTTCCCCGGTGTCAAACTTCACGTGATAAGCCCCTTGCCAGCAGTCTTCATTCCGTCTGACCACCACCCCTGGAATGTAGCTTGCATACCCAGGAAAATGGCCAATTACACGCTGAGTTGCATGCACATGACTGTACGAAGGAATGATGTCAAGGATAATGGCTCTTTCGTCGCTGGCTTGGTGTGAAATGGGGCCCAAATGATCCAGTTCCACGTCTATGTAAAGTTTCTCACCATAGTGAATTTGTTTCTTCACAAAACCACGGTAGTAAAGGTTGTCTTTCCGGCGAGCAAAAACACGAGCGCCGACTAAAATAAGGAAATGGATGTAAATTCGTCGATAAAGTTTAAGTAAACAGTCATTTTCTACTGAGCTACATGCAAACGAACGTAAAAACTCCCAACAATGTTGGGAGTTGTATGCATCGTGGGACGGAAACAACCCACAGACTTTGCAAATCATGCATAATGCGCGTGCGTGACCCCAACAATGTTGAAAGAGCTGTGCAAACGGATTTAACATTGCTGCCCTACGCTTCCGGGATCACAGAACAAACGAAATATTGGGGGTTGTTGATTAAAAAGCCTGACTGGTTTTAAACTTACTTTTCGCAACAACGTGCAACAGGGTGTGCAAACGGACGCGACATATAAGATCCAAAAATGTTGGGAGTTGATGGCCAGCAAAGTTGTGTCCGTTGGCACGGGGCTTAATAGGGAGTTTTAGCAACGACGACGGCGACGGCAGCGAGACCGTCAAAACAGCGATAGGTTTATAAAGCAAAACAACAGGTTTGCACGTGCATCACGCTTTTCTGTACATTTCTTAGCCGTCACTACACGACTACGACGTGAAAATGCCTAATTTCACGTTTTATGAAGGACGTAAACAAGCGACGACGAAATTTTTTCTCTCTCTTAACTTGAATGCGGTCCCCAAGAAATCAATTCTAGAGAAATTTGCCTTCTTTAGACATTTTCACCGAATTAGAATAAACGCGAAAAAGTTTGAAAAAACGCCAATTCATTTTAAAAGTGACGTTTTCGCTGCCGTCGCCGTCGTCGATGCTAAAACTCCCTAATTTGATTCAAAAACGTCTCTTTTTTTTCCTCCGGTGTGGACGCCATACTACACCACTTTGCCTTCTTGAGCCTGCTTGAGTCAAAAAGATCTGCACTGAAGTTTAGTTGGTGACAGGACAAGCCGGAAAATATTTTTTTTTTTTGCAATTCATCAGTTTGGTGTAGATGGTAGGTCAAAAAGATGAACGAAGATGGGTCATAAAATTATCAGAATTGGTGTGGGCGGGGCCGAAACAACAACGTTAAATTCTTCAGCAGTGTAACATTTTTGACTAGCTCTCCCTTTACCACAATGCTCACAAACCAATAAAAAACAATACACGTTGTTTTAAATCAGCTTTGCAGTAGTCTTTGGACTTCTCGTTCTTGGTTCTTTATATTTTGGCTGATTTGATCTCTTTTCTAGAGATCCAACGTTTACAACTAGCAGGATCTTCGTCCACGGTTTTTGCAGTTAATTTAATCCAAAACACAGATGAACGCAAGTTTTGTCGACACTCTATGTGAAAAAATGTTGAAATCGATTCTAAAAAGACGTTCCGTTTTACTCCCAAACTATTATACTATTATACGTTATTGTTACTATTATATGTTGGAAGTAGTGGGCACAAGAAAAAACGGGCGCGCGAGAAGTGGGCGAAAGAGAGAACGGGCGCGCGCGAGGGAGACACGCGCGCCCGTTCTCTCTTTCGCCCACTACTTCCAAGCGCCTGCTACGCAGGCTAGGTGACTTAGTTCTTAAGAATTCGGGAAATGTTTACCAGCCGTAAACTCGCAAAATACGATCAGGCTTTCTTTTTTTAAGGGAAGGCGTGATTGCAAGCTATAAGCTTATTGAGTAAATACCTTCATGAGCTGATCGGCAAAATGGAAGCTTTCGTAAATGTGGAAGAGTGTAATTCCCACGATTATCATTATCCAAAGTAACCTCATACAACTCCTTTTCATGTGGACAAAAAATCCTTGTCACAAAGCCAGTAAGATATTGCTGGCTCTCATTTGTCAATGGTGACAATGCAATCACGTGATCACCTAAAGTGACCCACGCTGGAGTGGAGTCTGGTACGACTACAGTCCTGTCTTCATAGCTGCACTCGATTTGACCTCCGTTGTCCAGTGCGACTAAAAATTTTAATCCTTCTGAATTAGCCACCTTTCCAGGAAGATATTCACCGTCTGATGTTCTTGTCAGAATTCGACTTCCTTCCCAAAAAAGGAACGAGTCTGGTTTGGAGAAAAGCCATCTCAGTGTATTACTTATTTGGCTTTGAAGTTGGTATATGTAGGTAGCTTAAGCAACAACAACAACCACGACTACGGCAGTGAAAACGTCTCAGTTCTTAAAAAAAAAATGAATTTGTGTCCTTTCAAACTTAATCGCGTCTATTCAGACCCACTCTATTTGTCAAATGTAGGCCATTTTTCCTGGAGCTGAATTCTTAAGACTTAATCCAGGTTCAAAAGGAGTAAAGAAAATTCGTCTTCGTTTGTTGATGACCTCCTATTTCACTTTGTAGTTGGATGGTAGACGTCAAAGAAATGTACTAAAAAAGCGTGAGGCGCGTGCAGAGCTGTTCTTGTGCTCGATAGAACCAATTTTAATTGGACGTTATCATTCTTGTTGCCGTATAGGTCGTGGTTGCTTAAGCGCCCTATTCTTGGTTATCAACAGCGAAGAGGCTTTGACGCTCTCTGAATACAGTGTAGAACGATAGCTAACGATGGTTAAGTTTAATGCTAGGTATGAAATTAAGGCTAGTCTTCTTGCTAAGGAACATGTGCCTAAAGTTATGGAGCCTTCACACCACGATCCCGGCGATCCGAGGTCTACTTATGACAACACAAAACGATACCCTGAATAGATCTTTAAGGCACTCTAAAATGTATACTAGCTTGAGTCTTTTTATTCTTGGTTTTTTAGTTATTTTCTATTGCATTGTAAATGTATGGTTGAAAAAATGTTTCCGTTAAGAACATTAAAGATTAAATTATACCCAAATAGTATACAGATAATTTACCTTCAGGAACGAAGTTTTCCATAAAGAGGAAAACACGCAGCGATACTGTTAACACAAACAATGTTGCCTTCACTAGGATACACATCATAAAAACTAGAGGAAAATGAGAAAGAAAAACATAACAAAACTGAAAGCAACATAGCGTACTTCTTTCTAAAGACCACTTTTGCTACACCAAATTCCGCCCGATTTTCTGATACCGGGACTCCTTTTTGGATTTTGAATTTCACTGATAACCTGACAATCTGAATTCAAACTAAAGCGAGAACGCAGATGTACATGCAATTGCTGTAACATAAACGGCCACTTAAAATAGCGACAGCTTAACATTAAAATATATTTAACAAGTATTTTGGACTAGCCATGCTATATTTATACTGGTATACTTACAAACATTAACAGTTTAACTTTTAGGTACATTTGATCACTGTTTTAGTAGATAATACGCCAATTTCTTTTTCACTTTTTCCAAGATAAATTTTAATAATAATCTATACACATCATTGGTGTTCAATATTTCCCATCATCGGTATTTTTTACATTTATAGTTGGTACTCAAAGACGTATAATGAAAGACAGTTAGTGGCTAATTTAAGCCACACTGTTTCAGAAAAAAATTCTCTAGACAACCTGTAACTGATTTCCGAAAATAGGTTTATTCACGTCACCTTGAAACTGTTATCCATGGCTGTGGTGGATGGAAGGGGGGAAGTTATTTTTTTCTCTATATACATCTCTCAAGTTTGTAAAGTTAAAATGGTCAATATGTCATAGTTTTATATCAATGATCACGTTTCTTAAAGATTTGAAGTGTGCATGTTGGCAATTCGTACCTGATATTTTAGAGCAAAACTCAGAGAAGAAGCCCTCTTCGAGTTATTTTCTTAGTAACACAAGAAGCATTTCTCTGTTTGTACATAATGGTGATATTGAACTCTTTCAGCAAATATGTCAATCATTAAAGGCTGTATAAACTTTTTGTTGGAAAATAAAACAATAATTTCACTTCCATTCTTTTAATTGAAGATACATCGTTCAACCTGTTTCGATGTTCCTGACTTAATGACTATTCACTTTTTTTATTGTTAGTGGAGAACAAAAAGAAAACCAACTGCACCCGAGTTGACTGAATCTAATGAGATACATGTGTCTGCTTCCATAACACCAATTATTACCAGCCAGTCATGATCATTAACACCTCTATAAGAAAAGACACTACTCGGAGATACTAGCTCTCTGGAGCTATTGTAAATCCGAGTTTAAAATATATGTATGCATGTATGTATGTCGACCTCAACAGTTAACCTTCACACAAAGAGGAGCGCGTGAAACTTGCAGAGAATAGTAAGCAAGCTTAAGTTAAGCTCAAGCCCTGTCGTATGTTTTAAAATCACATAGCACCAAAAGTAGGCGACACTAGTTTTTAGAAGAATGAATGATAGTAAAACGATGGCATTTTTTCACAGACACGACATTTAGAGACACGTATTCTAGACTAAGACACAATACATACTAAATCAACCTGTTCTTAAACAATTAAAAAAGCACTTTATGATTCTTATGCATGGTTGATTGAACATAATAAGGAAAGTGCTAAAAGAAACTTCTATTTTTCTTTGTCTTTTCTTTTTTTCAGAAAATTAACTTGAAAGATTGTTACTTGAGAACGTTTTGCTTCTTGGCAACTGTTAAATTACAGTTATTTATTTACTCTTTATACCTCCCTGGTAGCCAGGGTAGGCAAACTAATAACCATTTATTAAAACGAAGAAATAGTTTGTGTGCTTTAAACCCAAATAAACAGAAAATTTCAAAATTGTAAGGGGAAATTGATTATTAAAAATGTACATTAAAACTTTACATAAAACTCTCATTTCTATTTCAGCAAAAATACAGTGAAGAATTATGACAGAGTTTTCGAGGCGTGGGATTTTTTCATATTCAATGTATTTGCTATATTCACAGGCTAAAGGCTTTCAATTTCTACCTTACCTTAAGTCCGTCCTGCAGTAGTTTACATTTTATACCTAATCCGTACTTTATACCAAGTCTGTAGTTAATAATTTAAGCCTAGTGTTGAATCCGGCGACTATTCGCCTCTAGTTCAAAGAACGACTGCTAAATGTTTCACTTGTGATTAATAAGTCATAAAAATGAAAAGAATTGCTCTTGCTCTCCTCTACTTCCACTGGTATCAATAACGAAAATAGTCAGCGCCTAGTGGACGATGGGAAGAGAAAAGGCAAATTCTTTCCCAACCCTGTTCCCATCATCCCTTGCGTGCCAGTGGTGCACTGAAGAGGCGTCTACGTTGTATCTGCGCACGGCAAAGGAATTGCTATCATTAAAAGTCTTTTGTGTTTTGCTTCAAATTTTTGATGTACTTAGCGAGTTAATTCACACGAGTTTAAAACGGAATCCACTAGGAAATTGAGTAGTTTTATTTTTTTAGTGGACAGAATAACTTCAAGCATATCCATTATTGCACCCTTTTTTACACTTTTCGATGGCTATAGAAGCAATAAGTTATATGAAATAACTCCAACGAAAAGCCTTTTATGGGAGCTCGAGAAAACAAACTTCAAAAGCTTCAAATTTCACAAAATAAAATCTTACGCATGACGATTTCCTCGTGTTTTTTCAATTCTTGTGATATTTGAAAATTATTTTCTCGGGCTCCCACAAGCAATTGTCTTTAGTGTTATAAGCGAATCTTTGTCTACACTTTTTGCCTCATTAACATACGTTTATCACGATCTGATGACGCTAATAAAATAAAAACTCTGAATATTGAAAGGGTATAACAGTTTCACGTATCTCTAAAAATTTGAACCCAACGCACCGAAAGGTTTTGGAGAAATTCTCTTCTAAAACGTAGAAATTTTACTGCAGAAGTATGGCTCATTAACTTTTTGCCCACACAGCAATTTCGCAGTTTTTGGTGGCTGATATACCCTTCAATATTGCTTGCAAAGAGCTGAAAATTGCACAAATTGCTCAACTTAATCAGCTCTTTCAACTTTTACATTTAGTTCATATATACATCCACGGATTCTATGAGTTTTAAAGTCGTATGCTACTGAGGAAAAATTAAAACAATGACGTCAGCAAAGATTCACCTATTTAAGATGACAAATTATATCAATAGCCCTTGAAAAGTGTAAATAAAGGTGCAATATGGCCTAAAGATTCTGCTACAAGGTTTTTGTCCACTGAAAATTGAAATTACTCAATTTCTTGATTGATTCCGTCTTAAAACTTTTACCGGGACAAGATTAGGAGTGAATTCTCTCTAACACGGTCCGATACTGGCAGTGTAGGTCTTAGCGATGTTGCCGTCTTTTAAAGGGACAGGCAGATGATCGACCTATTCTAGGTGTTAATTTTAGGGAGGCGTCTGTGACGGCTGCATTATTCTATAGGGCCTTTTCACACACGTGCCCAGCAACTATGCAAATTTTCTAGGAACAAAAGAAAGGACAGGATTTGCAACACCAATATCCCACCCACCATTTCATTGTCATGGGACACCACAGAGTATGGCGGATATGGACATGACGTCATGTGAAAACACTCTTTTGGGCGTTTTCACATGACGTCACGGTGACCATATTCTTGTCCCAAACCAGTCCTGTAGGAGTTGAACTCTTTTCTTATGTAAACGCTTTCTTTTGTTCCAATACATTTGCATAGATGCTGGCCACGTGAGTGAAAACGCTCTATAGTTGCCGCGTTCTGCCTTTGAACAACAGGCTCCCGAGGAAGCGTAGCAAATATAAGATGAAGAAAGACTCTTCTCTTCCCCTCCTCATTCTCCCCTCGGTTTTTCGTTTCTTTTCGCTCCCAATGATGATTACAACGAACTTAACAACATGTTTTCGCGGTGAGGCCACAAGTTTTATTGAAGATAACGTCATTGTTCTTAGTCTAATTGCATTACAAGTTGCACAAACATTACAGAAAATTAATTAACCATTAAAGCGAATTGAAATCTAGAGAATTTCTTGCCTACAGAAGCTAAAATTGAGCTAGATTGTTTTCAGAGACTAGTGTAGTGTACTGAAAACAAACGATTACTTTCCTTGATTCTTATCAAGCAAGCTCAGACACAAGAAGAGGGAATTTCAAACGCGGCACATCCTTTAACTCCGTAGATAAAATCGGACCATTTGTAGACGTCTCCTCTGATTCCAAGGTTACTGGAGCAAGATTCAGAAAAAGTAATGATAGCGTCTTTTGGCAGGACATAGGACCACACATTAACCCTAGCCAAGTTTCCTTCAAAGCTCTGGTCTTCTTCGAAGTCGCCGCAGACCTCATCTTGGTCTTGTCCAAGAACCAGAGATCCCCCAGCCTTGATGGTGTGGCCCTTCTTAAAGTCTGTCTCTTGTTTTTCCATTGCTCCATCTTTGAAGAACTGATAAGTGCCATCGTCGTTGTTCCATGTCACACAGATAGCGTGCCATTTGCCATCATTTGCCGATATCCCTGTCTTCCTGTCAGTGAAAAAGAAAGTTACTGTGCCATACCGAATAATCCGCATTATCAAAACAGCTGAGCTAAAACAACCTCGTGCCTGCGCTATTGATGTCATCAGTACACGATATCGCAAACGTCTTTCAAATTTGTTTGACGCTAGCTGGTTATAAAAAATTGTCCATTGTATTTGAGCCAATCAGTGAGGAAGAAATATTTTGAATGAATATATATTTTTTTGGCTACCTCAGTGATTTCGGGATTTCTCGTGTTGGATTGTTTGGTCTAGTATGGCTGGTTATTGGCCTCATTTTTTTTTTTTTTTTGCGTTTTCATTGACCATGATTTTGTCTTGCAACATAACAACGCAAAAGAAAACAGCTTGGCCAACATTCATTCATTACACACGACTGCTCCTGGGCGCGGTGCTTATTCGAGGGCAACTATCTTTTTTATTCAAAACGTTGTTAACATAAAATATCCACACTCTGGCTGGATTTACCGAATAAAATCGAAATCTGAAACTGAAGGGTAAGTCCTGGTAAATGAACCTGCTTTTAATACGCGAGATCAAGGTTTTATGGTTCCCAACGCTGAAGAATCCAATTTCGAATTTTTTCTGTTTTTCTATTTTTTTTTTTTTTTCGTTGTTAAGAATCCGTTTGGCCCCAGATTTAAAATCTCTACTATTAGTCTCGAGTTTTTCCAAAGAAATGCACTATTAATTGTATATAACTTACTTCTTTTCACCACCAAGACGTAAGGTAAAGTCCTTGTAATTAGCCAAGAGCAGTTCGTTTTCCTCTACTGGAACGGCATAGCTAAATGGCACTCCCTCTTTCTTGCCGCTTGATTTCATCCAGAAACAGACGGTAAACGCACTCAAACTGGGCATGTTCCACACTTGGGCATAATTGGTCACTTCTCGTTTTGGAAAACGAAGAACAAAATCTGTAAATGATAAAAAAGCCACAGACGCGTACGTCAATGTTTTCGTTTCATATGACTGCATGGCACTGAGTTCTCCCCTGTCAGTATTGCGTCAATGGGGAACTGAAATACAAAGATTCGGTTTTATCAACTAGTGTCTTGGCCACTGTAACGACAAAGAGAAGCTGATTTTTTTAGCCTTTCGTCAGAGAGCAAATCAGGGGATTGTTGGTTGCGGGTTTGATTTACGTACAGGGGTTTGTTGAAACTGTCCAGTGGTAGGAGCATGGTAAAAATTAAACAGGGTGGCAGGGTGGCGCATCACGCTGACTTTTTTTCGGCCATCACGCATCATGTAAATGAGGTTCAATTGCAGTTAGTTAATAATATATCATCCCTTGAATGAATTAGCTCTAAATTGCTTTCAGGGTCTTTTGGGGGTTGAAAAGAAAATCATGATGTCATGAATATCTGTTTTGAATGTCTGTGCTTCTAGTTTCAAATGAAATTCACCAATCACTGAAATCTATAAAGAAATACTCGCGTCACATGTTGTGAATATAGAAAATCACGCACCATACAGCAG